TTCATTAAACACCACCCTTAAATTGATATTACGGGACATTAATCATACGCATCCAACATCAACCACACACCCAATAATCATTTTTTCAGTAATCACGCAATGTGAAACCAATGTTTTGGATGGTGTGTCAAAAGCCACATGTCGAAGATCGGGAGGCCAGCCATGCTAGAACTGAAATAACGTGATTTCAACTATTTTTTTTAAAAAAGTTAATTACGTATAGGGTGTGGTTTGTATAAGGCCGACGTTCTAAACCATTAAAGTAAGGCACACATTCAAATCGTATCGAAAAGTATTGTTTCAATAAGAAAATCTTTGTAATGGTCTGAAAATTTATTTTCAGATCTAATTATAAACTTAAAAAATAGTATAGATCGAGCAGATCTATGAACACTTGAATATGTTGAAAATTGACAGTAAAAAAATGCATTACTAGATGCACTATTTCCAAGACTTGAAATCCATTTATTTTCATGTCGATACATCTTGAGGTTGAGAGGATCAATTTGAGGATTTTTGGGCATTGAAAAAAACCTCTTATGAATTTTTGAAGTGCACCTTAATTTAATTGTTAAAGGCCTCACCCTTATATAAACTTTTTCCTCAAGTATAACCCTATCCAACTTGGACTCGCCGAATATTGGTGAACTTAGGCCCTGACCCAGCTTAGTCAGGGGTCTAACCCTGCTTAGTTTTAGTCTGGGCCGATCCAAGTTTGGAAACACGGGGTTTGGACACTGCGCACTCTTGAACATCAATTAAGAGTCATTTAGGGGCAAAAAATCCTAATTGGCAATCGTTACTCATCACGATATCAAAGCCCATTAATTGAGTTTTGAAAATAAATGCGGCAGTAATTGAATTTTGAAAACAACAAGAGGAAAAAAATTAAAATATTATTCGCATGTGAGGGAAGAGCGTTTTGCGGTAAGAAACGTTAATCCCGGGGTCAATTCAAAAACTGCAGTCTTACTAGTAAATGAGAAGCAACCTTTTTTTTATTTTATTTTCAGCTCCAACCATTAAAAAAAAAGAAGAAAGAAAAAAGAAAAAGGAAAAAGGAAAAAGGAAATTCATTCATCTCTAACCATAAAAAAAACTCACAAAATGAGCGCATATACTATGGTCCTGTGTGAGTGTATTAGATGGTTTCTATTTGATCTTGCAGCATTATTTTTTCAAGCTCATAAGAATACGATTTTGAGATCCCTTTTATTGATATAATATATAGGTTTAAAGATGTTACATCCTCAAATTTGGGGTCCTAAAAAATACTCTTGGATTGGGTTTTGCTCGAGCGAATAAATGGACAATATGCTTCCTTGGGAACATGAAATCACTAGTTTTTCCCCGAGAAACTGTCATTTTAGGGCTCGAAACGCCTACCTTTGGCAGGAAGGTTCACCTCGTCATAAAAAAACTAGGTCCGCAAGAATTGTTTGAGTACCGGGCTTAGTTCGGGTCGCCAGGGCCTAGCTACCATAGCCAACGGCATATTTTCCTTTAGTTTTTTTATTAATAGAAATGTTATTAAGCCTGTGTGATTATTGTCTTAAAAAAAAAAAAAAAAAAGGGTGCAATTTGTATAGAGCTGAGGCTCTGGACAATCAAATTAGAACCCATCTTCAATTAGTATTGAGAAATATGGTTTTAAAACTGTACTTAAAGCGTTGGGAGCCCGGAATAAGCATGGACATTTCACCATAAACAAATAAATATACTCCAATTATTTGATTCAGGCCTCGTAGATGAGTCAAATTATTCATTATTTTCATATATCTACTTATTAAGAGTTTTCAATTTTGAATAGGGGCACTTCAGAAAATTTTGAAATATATATATATTTTAAAAATACCTTAAAGAAAATGTGAAATACAAATTAAAAAGTAAACCCCTTGTTCACTCCTTTATAATTTTATAAGGGCTTTTGATCTATGTTTTTCCTCTCTCACTTAACCGACCCCTCTCCCTTATAATATGCAAAGGAAAAATACGGTCATCATCATCATTATCGAAGTCTTTTTTCAATTAATTGGGGATGGCTGCATGAATCTTGGTCCATCATTCTACTATATTAAGAGCCGCATCCTCAGTGATATTGTGAAGAGTCTCAGGTTTCTATAAAGAGACTCCTTGTGTCAATTATTCATATGAATGTATAGACTTGTCTTTTATGGACAAATTACAAATGACAATAATAGAAACTAAATCATAGATACCTAAACCATATCTAATTTTACAATAAAATATATATACTCTATCAACCCTTTCCATAAATACTGATTGCAATGTATACTTTTTATATTAACTTGATACATAATATACACTTTCTTTTTACACTCAAATTCAAGATGTGAGAGAGAGCGACTGGAGTTTGAACACTAATTGCGAAAAGTAGCAGTTGGATCTTCAGGTGCATACTCAAATTGCTTGATTAATAAGTACCGAAAGCAACGTCGAATCAACAAGCCTCGAGGACAGATAGCTTCAGGAACTCTTGGAAAAGATCAAACAGATCAGAGAGTCAAAACACGACTCGACATAGAGATAGATCAAAGAGTCAAAACACGACTCGGTGTAGAGACAAATCAGATAGTCAAAACACGACTCGACATATAGTCGAAACACGACTCGATAGAAGTTAACGGACTCATGTTGAAAATTGACGACAATGCTTCAGGGACGAATAATAGATACAACTAAGATGAATCTGGCTCTGATACCATGTGAAGAGTCTCAAGTTTCTATAAAGAAACTCCTTGTGTCCATTAATCGTATGAATGAACATAATTGTCTTTTATAGACAAATTACAAATGACAATAATAGAACCTAAATCATTGATACCTAAACTATATCTAATCTTATAATAAAATATAGATACTCTATCAAACCTTTCCATAGATACTGATTATAATATATATTTTTTATATTAACCCGATACATAATATACAAGTCCTCATATATTTTTTCACTATTTTCAGCCACATCTTTTTGGATTCACACTTTGTTCCACTTGAATTAACTTGCACATCTTAATAGGTACTGTACTTAGTTTGTGTCACAAATGGGTAGTCCTCCGAAATCTATTTTCTCTCATTTTATCGTAAATTGGTGCCAAACCTAAATTCATTTTAAATTTTATTGCTTCTTGTCTTTCTACTCATCCATATCAACATATTCATCTTAGATATACTCATTTTATGGATATGTTGTTTCTTAACCACCTAATCTCATAAAGTAAAGCTAGTCACACAATTGTCCAATACAACTTGCCCTTTCGCTTCATTCATATGCGGCAATCACATAAAACTCCAATTGTACATCTCTACTTCGCCCACCTAACTTTAATTCTATGTGTGACATTTTCATCAATATTTCAATTTTCTTAGGTTATCAACTTAAAATATCAAAAGTGCGCTCTTTTTTGGTATTTTTTGGCCATCAATCTTTAACTTGTTCCTCCTTACTACTCCTATTATTATTAAATGGGTACGGTTTGTATAAAGCCTAGGCTCTAAACAATCAATTTAGACCCTACCTTCAAATAGTATCGAGAAATGTGATTTCAATACTGAAAATATTTGTAATAGTGTTAAAATTTATTTTTATCTTTATTTATAAAGTTTAAAGCTTAAAAAACAATATAGAATTGATAGATCTATGAAAACTTGAAAATCTTGAAAATTGAAGGTCTAAAAATACGCTAAAAAATGCACTATTTTCAAAACTTAAATTTCATTTTTTTTCTCATGTCCATGCATCTTGATGTCGAGATGATCAAATTGAGGATATTTGGGCATCAAAACAACCTCTTCTAGTGAAATGTTTGAGATAGGCTCTAATTTGATTGTTTAGAGCCTGACTCTATATAAACTTCTCTATATAAACTTTTCCCTTACTAAATTTACATTCTATATACTCTTCTTATTACTAAACTTGCTTTCCAAAAGAAAAATAGGGTGCTTAATCCAAAATGCACCTGATCACCTGAAAATTAAAATGCGCCAAATTATGACGCATTTGCACTGGAATAATTCTAAAATACCCAATTATAACAAAATTCAGAAACGTATTGGATTTACAGAATGAGTATCGACTTTGACAAAATCACCAAAATACATAATGAAATTTAATCACGAAAAGTACCCAAAATTACCATACTGGACTTCGCTTGAATATACCTGCTTTTTACAAATTGTAGCAGAAGTCACCACAATATTATAGAAACATTCAAATTTTGCATAAATATACCTGCTTTCTAAAATACAGCAGAAGTCACCACAAGCTTGTTTCTTCCTTGCCAAATTTCAAGGCGAATTTTTACAGAAACATTCATGTCGTTTGTTGGAATTGCACTGGAAGCCACATTTTTGAATTTGTTCATAATTTCCTGGATATTTGAGTCAAAATTACAGAAATATTCATGTCGTTTATTGGACTTGCACTGGAACACTCCAATTCTTGATAATTTCCTGCATTTTCAGGTAAAATTACAGGAACAATAACCCAAAATTTCTCCACAATTTTGCCTGAAAAAATCAGAAATTTCATCTTCTCATTTGCAGAAACTCATGAAGTAACAAAGTAATCTTCAAATTAAGCCGAAGAATCTATAATCATGATTTAGGAACAATTTTGGAGCCCCATTTTCACTGGTAAACATTCATATAGAGCCACAATTGAGGCAAAAGATAGACAAAATTTATCAAAACAAAGCACCAATTGTGACAAAAAAAAAGACCACATTTTTATGAAAATTTACGCCCAAGTTATCTTGAAAATTTTGTGAAATCATGTTAAAAATGGCATAATCAAATATTGATTATCCCCGAAATCACGTACCAAAATGTCACCAGAATTTTGTTGGAATTTGGTTGGAACGCAAACATTTTTGCTGGAATTTCACCGGAATCTAGTTGGATATAGCCGGAATTTCACCGCGTTTAGATGGACATTTACTGCAATTTCACCTAGATTAATCAGGACAATTGATTCATGCTCTCCAAAATCTCCTTGCTCTCCATTTTCTTTTCCATAATCACAGCAAAAACCCACTCTTTTCTCACACCAAAATCTCCTCTGAGTTTCCCATTTTCTGACCGTTCTCAATCATCGGAAAATCGTCTGGAATGGCTGGAATATCAACGGAATTTGACAAAGAGTGACCGGATTTCTCCATTATCCGGTGACCCGCCCAAAGCTCACCATTAAATCAGCAAAAGCCCCCACTATATACTTATGCATCTCTTTCTCATTCAGCCTGAGATAACTGAGGAGAAGCTCCTCTAGAAAACTCCAATCCAAAACCTCACCCATCGCAAGCCTGAAATCCACCATCTCCTGCATGGATCCCCGGAAGTCAGAGAAAGGATCTGGCGAGAAGGCCGGAAAAGCAACACCGGGAAATTTATCCGGCAAGGCGGAGAGGATCGAGCTTGACTTTTCAGGTGAGAAGAAGAAGCGTCGAGCGCCACTTCGATGACCTTCTGAAGAGGAAAGGCCACTCGAGAAACTGCAAGAATCGGTCGTGAATTCTGGTGATATTCTGCCGGAAAACTCACTGGAATCTTCAAAGGGGGAGCTCAAATTACAGATGGTTGTGTCTTGTGACTCGGATTTTCGGCCGGAAAACTTGCTAGAACCTTCAAAGTTGGTCTTGAAGTTGCAGAGGATGTCTCTTTGTGGGTCCGTTTGTTTGCAGGAATTTGATTTTTTTCCGGAATCTTCACACGGGGTGTGGAAGTTACAGCGGTTTTCTCTTTGTGGGTAAGAAGATATTTTGCTGGAATTTGATGTTTTTCCTGAGATTTCGTCGCATTCTTCAAATGGGGTGTTGTTGAAATGGGTGAAATCTTGGTTTCTCTGGTTAATGTTTTGAAGGGAAACTTCACCAGAATCTGATTTTATGCCGGAATCTTTAAATAAGGTGTTGAAGTTGCAGGGCTCTTCATTTTGTGGGTCAGATTTTTCACCCGAAATTTCACCGGAATCTTCAAAGAGGGTATTGAAATTAGAGAAGGTCCCGTTTTGTGGGTCAGATTTCCGGCCATGAGCAAAAGATGGGGTTCTTGGGTATCTGCACCCAGAGAAAAACCAAGAGCTTTTTGAGTGGTTTAGAGACCGTGAGTGGAGGGTTTCAGGCGAAAATTGGTGGTTTTCAGGCGAAGGTAGATCATTATTCGTGGTTTTTGTGAGCTTTGATATGTAAAAATGGAGGGTTTCCTGCAGGTTTTTTGGCATTTTTTTTTCACTAGTTTTGGCGGTTTCATAAGGGCTGGAAGATCAGCAAGGGAACGTTGAGGCTCTTTTAAATGGGATAAAATGACAAAATTGCCCCGACGCATATTGGGAAATATTGAGAAGTCCAGCTCACTTTGACTGGAGGGGAATGGCGAAAATGCACCCAGTTTGGGACATTATTTTAAGACCTCACCATTTTCGATCTGGAACCGATTAGGTCCTTGTTTGGTTCCCTTTTAGTACTCTCTTTATATATATTTTTATTTTTTTATTAAATTTATGTTTTATTTTCTTGGGCTCTTTTTAAATCCCCACCCTATGAACTCTTATTTAATTTTTATTTTATTTCATGTATTTTTAATTTCAATTGTACCATTGTTTCAAGGATGGATCTAGACATGATCAACATCGTTGATCCAACATTTCGATACCGATTTGTAGGTGAACAATCCTCTCCACTGATATATCAGCCTTTTTTTTGGTGTTGGGCTTGGTTTTTTGCATCTTTTGGTCCAAATATTTATTGCAAATTTACAGAGTTTCTAATGTCTTCAATGAAAACAAAATAAAGCCCCACCTCAAATTCTCGTCTGGAAGGCAATTTCAGCAACATAAATCTCTGTCATGACTATAAATCAATATGTAATACCGATAATAAAATTTAAAGCTAAGAAAATGATATAGATCTTGTGGATATGTGAACACTTGTTTTTAGGGCGAAATGGACGGTTTAGATAATTTGTTATAATATACAATATCTTTAGAACTTGAAATCCTAATTTTTTTCACAACCATACAGTATAAGCTGATATATGTGAAGAGTCTCTGATTTCTTTGAAGAAACTCAGTGTCCATTAATCATATGAATGTAAATTTATAGACAAATTACAAATGACAATTATAGAAACTAAATCATAGATACCTAAAACATACCCAAACTTGTAATAAAGTACAGATACTCTATCAACACTTCCCATAAATACTGATTGCAATATATACTTTCTATATTAACCCGATACACAATATACACTTTCTTTTTATACTCCCCCTCAAACTCAAGATTCTTTGACAGAGAGCAGTTGGAGTTTAAACACTAATTGCGGAAACGAGCAGTTGGATTTCAAGTGCATACTCAGATTGCTTAATCAATAAGCACCAAAAGCATCGGCGAATTAACAAGCCTCGAGAACAGATGACTTCAAGAACTTTTGGAAAATAGATCAGAGAGTCGAAACATGACTCTGCATAAAGATAGATCAAAGAGTCGAAATACGACTCGACAGATAGACAAATCAGATAGTCGAAACACGATTCGGCAGAGAGGACATATCAGATAGTCGAAGCACGACTGAGTAGAGATGACAGTTCAGAGAGTCGAAACAAGACTCAACAGAAGTTGCACCAATTGGGTAAGCAGCACACTCGTCTCGAAAATTGGCGTTAATGCTTCAAGGACAAAGAACAGATACAACTAAGATGAATCTGACTCTGATACCATGTGAAGAGTGTCAGGTTCTTCTGAAGAGACTCCTTATCCATTAATCATATGATTGTACGGACTTATCTATTATAGACATATTACAAATGATAATAATAAAAACTAAATCATAGATACCTAAACTATGCCCAAACTTATAATAAAATATATATACTCTATCAACACTTCCCATAAATACTGATTGCAATATATACTTTCCATATTAACCCGATACACAATATACATTTTCCTTTCACAATATGATCGATGTAAAAGTTTTCCGATACTTGAATTACAATTTTTCATGAGCTTTATGGTGCAACTTTACTTATTTTGATAGGACTGCGGTCCTATCTAAGTAAGTAAAGCATCAACTCATAACTCATTAAAAATTGCAATTCAAGCATTGAAAAATTTTTATAATGATCATCTCGGCTTGAAATTTATGATTGTAAAAAAAAAAGAAAAAGAATTTTAAGTTCTAAAAATAGTGTATATTGTAACAAATTATCTATGGTATTTATTAGCACTAAAAATAAATATTCATAGATCCACAAGATCTATAAATTTTTTTTAGCTTCAAATGTTATTGTCAATGTTCAAAATTAATTTTGAGCCATCGTGCAGATTTCTATTGCTGAAAGTGCTTTCTGGATAAGGATTTGAAGTTTTATTTTGTTTTAAAAAAGCCTAGGCCTTATAAAAACTTCATCCTCCTTTATTAGAGCGCATAAGCTTCTTTCATGGAATATAGTTGAGGTTATGTAGATATTAAAAAATTATATAGTTGAGGTCATGTAGATGAAATTTGTTTTACAAATTAAGTTTCTTTTTCATTTTGTTATCAAAAAGCCTAGGCCTTATAAAAACTTCATGTATTTTTAAAGGGAGTTTCTTTTTCATTCGCTCCCTCGAGTAAAACCCAAAGAGTATTTTTAAAGGAAAATTATCGGGAAAATAATTGCATAAGGTTAACACCTTAAATTATAGAATTAACATGTATTTCATAATTCCACCAAAAAATGCTGTTTTGACGTTGGAAAACTATCTAATTGATCATCTCGACATTGAGATGTATAAGATATTGGAAAAATAAATTATGCTATAGAAACAATACATCTTGCAATACATTATTTATACAGCCGATTTTTAACATTTTCTTGCATTTATAGATATACGTGATTTAAACTATTTTTAGAGTTTATATTTTTATAATTAGAAATGAAATTAAGTGCTTGGGCCATCTTAAGAATTTTCAACACCAAAGTTACATATTATGACAAAGTTTGGAGGTGCGCCTTACTTTTGATTGTTTAAAGTTGCAACTTTTATGCAAATCACGTCCAAATTATTGATACCCCTCTGACCCAACTTTCTAAAAGGAAAAACCAAAGAAAAAGATGAATGGGTGTTTTAGTGCCCTCCTATTTCGATAACACTCACCTCTTCCAAAAAACACCGATCTAGATAGGAATAAGTGGCAATAGTTCGGTTCTTGGTCAGAACTGACAATCAACTAGTTCTGTACATAAGAGGCTCGTTCTATCAAGAACATTATTTTTTTTCAATAAATTTTTTTTATTTTCAATTGTTTTATTAGCCAATCCTCTCGGCCAAATAACTGAATCGCCAATTTGGATGCAGTTTCCATATGGCTAGTCATCTGTCTGATCCGGGTTTTTAAACACTGCACACCTCTATTCTTTCAGCGGGTGAAGCACCCCAGGACGAGACCTCTATATTACAGGAGACTTGAGATTATCTTAACTCTAAGAGGAAGGGGAGACAAAAAAAACTCAGCAGGTGTTTTGTTGTGTTTGCTCTTTATAAAAAGTATTTTGTTGAGTGAGAAATACTACATGGCAAGAAATAGAGAGAGATCATGTTTTAGGGTTGAGAAAGAAGTTGTAAATTCTTGTATTCCCCATGCTTGCATAGTATTTTTCAAATTAGTAAAAGAGAGATTTGCTGCCCTGTAGATATAGGCGTCGAAGAGAGTTTTGTTACTTTGTGGATGTAAACAATTTGTTTTTTTTGTTTTTGTTGCGAAAAGTGTGTAGACAATTGGTTGAACCAGGTGAATCATTGTATCTCACTTTTTTTATTTTAAATTTTTTTAAACTAATTTTATTTCTTTTTAAGTTTTCCATGGTTTTAATCCTCTATAAAAACCAAAAGAGCAAAATAAAAAAAATTCAAAGGCTTATTCAATGAAGCACCATATTACCCTTCCTAAGGTTAGGCCAGACTCCCTTTCCCTTGAGTCATGGGTCAGGGCCCTAAATAACCAATGTTTGTCTTTGTACTACTTTTCCCAGCTTGGCGAATCCTTTCTTTATGGATGGCTGCAAAATGCAATTCCCCCCCGTCTTTGTAGATATGAGAGATCTATGAAGAGTTAAATAGATGGCCCATAATGGGACATTGTTTTTTATCCATGGAGTTTTTATTTTTTTTACGGAATTCATGGTCATTTTTACAGGATGGGTGAGGTTTGTATAAGGTGTCAACTTTATACTATTGAAGTAGGTGCATCTCAAAACTATACCGAAAATGAAGGTGCCACAAAGACTTGCGATGATATGAAAAATCTATTGTTATCCCAATTATAAAATTTAACATCTTGAAAATGGTGATGGATCTATAAACACTTGAAAATCTTGAAAATGGACGGTCCAGTTATTATGTTGAAAGATGAATTACTTTTAGGACTAGAAATCTCCTTTTTCATGCCTATAAATCGAGTGATCGAGATGATCGATTGGAGGGTTTTCCAACCTTACTCGTACATTATCAGATTGCCACTTTATATAAATGTGTCCTTCTATAATACTTTATCATAATGATGAAATTGAAAGTTGACCAAAAACTAGTACGTGGGTAGGCAAGGCACACAGGGGATAGG